TACAGTTTCGCATTAAAAGAAAGTGGCAGAGTTTAGGTGATACTGAACTAATAGACTTTCAAATTCACAAAAATCCAACATTCGATCTGGTTTTGGGGCAAGATTGGTTATGGATGCGTGAAGCAAAAATAAGCTTTGAACATTCTCCCAAAACCTGTGTCCGCTATGCTAAAATTGTAATAGATAGTATGAGCATCCCGTTATTCGATAAAGATTTTAACAAAGCCAGCTCCACTAAAAATAATTTATCTAAATCAACGGAATCTAAACCTGGTCTAGCTTAAAAGGAGGTTATGAATATAATTAACAAAATTTTTTCAAATATTGGAGATAGACCCAAAGGGTCATTGCTTTGCACTAATAAGCAACGAATATTTTGCAACATACCTTCTACACATCTACTATCCAGAAGATTAAATAACGATTTTTTCAAAAATAAGAGTAAGAAAAATAAGGTCAAATATTCCACAGATGCTTCTTCTAATTCAGATACTTCAGACAGCAATTCAATTCTTCCACATCTAGTTCAGAAATAGAAGTTATACATAAACATAAAACTGAAGCAGTAAGAAAACACTCTATTCTAAAGCGTAAAGTAAAAGGCAAAGTTAATTATCGAGGTTAACTCGCAGAGTGAGGATACTAACAGATCTAATCCATATGTATAATAAATTATTGAAGTATAACCACATCGTAACTTCGAAATCACATGATGTTATAATGAGCCTCAGTGGAGCGATGTCATGTGTTTTATTTCAAAGAAATGGCTTTTCGAGCCTAAATCCACGAATTGGAGATCAGCATAGAAGTATTTCAGTACTAACCAAGGAATTGAAAAAATCGAGCGAATTCGAATATATAGTTCTGATTATATTTCAAAGCTTAATACTACACAAATTTATAGTATTATAAAGCATTTTAACTAGTGCAGATCACGTCCCCGAAGTTGGCGCCAACGTGATATTAATATTTTTTATTAGTAAATCATATATGTATAATTATATAATTAAATTTATACGTATTAAAGTTTATACATATCAATAAATGCTTGTTAAATATAGGCATTCAATTGGATATCGACCTAAGGATTATATGTAAGACAGGGCACAAACACATTGCAGGTTTGAATGATAAAAAATTTTTTAGCCACGTATAATTATTTTTCTATTAA